TGGCACCTATTGTTATCGTCTCATTTTTATTCTAATTTGGTATTGACCTTGATGTTTGCTGAAACAAAATTCAGTGTTCTGACTTCTGTGGACAGGTGGGTTGTATGTGACTTTGTCCTGTCAGTAGCTAGCCACTTCCCATCTTGTCGGTTTCCTTTTTTGTGATACAATTTGGTATTCACCACATCTAGACCCTTGAAAATCTCTTCTGAAAAAAGTGTCCATGATTTATAGGCACAAGGCTTATAAATGTTTGCCCTACGAGCTTTTAGCTTGTCTTTATCAATCTTATGCCATATTTTCCAACATATAGTCTTCTGACTTCCCTTGCTCACTCTTTTAAGTCATTCACTATTAAAGTTTATGGAATTTATCATGAGATGCCTCGTAAGATTCTTTGTAGAATTTCTCTACTTCTTCACCTTGCAGAGTAAGAGTCTATTATCTTCATGGTGGACTTTTTTTTTTTTTTTTTTTTTTTTTGCTGCAAATGATGATCTTGAGCACTGATACAAGATGACTACTGGAGATCCCATAAAGTCTTTCTTTATTCCTCTTGAATGCCAAACAAAGCCAATTCCTTTATTTATGTCTCCACATAGAACTTGTGAACATCCTCCCATTTAGCTGCAACTTTTGTCTCTTCATTTAATTTGTAGTGAAAATGTCAATATTTATATGGTTTATTCTTCCAGTAGTAAGTCCACTTATTGGTTGCTGGAGAAGGAATCTCAGACGTAAAGTACCAAGAGTTGAGTTAATGTTTATTGATTGTGTAAAAACTGTTTTAATATTTGCATAGTCTACCCCCTTTTCCTCTACGACAAAGTAGATGAAACATCGTCACTGTGAAGCACAACTCCCCGGGATTGAGGACGAATTTTATATCGGTTAAAGACCTAAGAATTCATCCCCTAGTGACCAGCAGACTGGTGATAAGCCTTTTTTGCATTCAGCTAAATTGGTCCTCAGAAAGCAAATGTAATCTGTTGCTCGACCTATAATCAAAGTCATTTCAGCATTCAGAATCTGCTAGAGTTTGGATTCCACTAGTATAGCTCTTGACAACCCCAGCCATCGTGAGGTTGGGCTTTAATGGAGTATCAATAAGTTACCATCATTATACAGAAAGCAGAGACGCCTAGAGATGACTGAGTACCTCATTCATCCCCATACCACGTGATCCCTAGAACACCTAGACACTAGTGTTTTTTGTTTAAAGTTCTCTTAATTAAAAGAGACCAGAATCTCTTTTCTTCACATCTTCTATTTTTTCATTCCCTTTGTAGTTAATAATGTTAACATTCAGTCTTCGGTGCACTGCTTCAAGTTTCCACTTTGCCTGCCCTTTGCATGTATTTTGTACTTTATGTGATAAATAAGGAACTAAATTACATATAGTTCTCACTTTACACAAAATTTGCATTATACAAATTCAGCTTTACATAAAAAATTCTACAAGAAATCTGCATTCCAAAAGAAACCTATATTAACTTTACTGTTCAGTACTGTGTGTGTGCTCTCTCTCTCTCTCTCTCTCTCTCTCTCTCTCTCTCTCTCTCTTTCTCTCTCCTGCCCTTCTGCAGCCTCCAAATCCCAACTCCCCCACCAAAAAAAAAAACAAAACAAAAACCCCAACCTCTCCAAGTGACCAAAGACCGGATGCTGTGGCCTGATAGGGACTTGGCTTGAAACCTCCAATGCTTAAAGAGATCTTTGCTCCACTCTGGGCACTACCCCCTTTCTATCTGTTTGCACTCGGGTACTGCATGTCTGTCCTGGCCACACATGTAGCCTGTGGTCTCCTGTCTGTGTCTTTGTTGACCCTCTGTCTGCCCCACCTCCCCCACTTTACATAGAGGTCTGTGGAATGGTCCACTAAGGTAAAGCGAGAACTGTCTGTATATGCGCAATGTGGTCATATAATGATTATTCAGGTATGTTAAATGAATTGTCCCATTCTCGTTTAGCATTATTTTCCCTCTGCTATAGCTTTGAGGTGTTCAGTGAGAGTCAGTGGTCCGACTGCATTATTCAATTCATGATGCATTTTATTGGCATGCTTGCACATTTTGTGTATGACATTTCAGAGCCAAAAAAACATTTGTGGCCCATTTATTTGACTTTCATATTTACTTTGGATGCTAAAGTTAAAGAACCAGCTTGGTACTTTAATTCAGTGCTGACAAACGAATTCAAAAAGTTTGCAAACATTTTCCCCAGTCTGCCTCTCCCAAGAGGTGTAAAACACATGGAACAAGCCTTTTATGCTGCTTATCTGGAATAAATCATTTTCCCAACAAGTGACTGTTTGTGAGGCTAATTGCTCCAAGTCTGCAGATGTCAAAGTCATCTCACTGAGGTCTGTTGATTTACTAGGCTTCTTTCTTCCTGAGTGTTGATTTGAGAAATTGCCCTGATCAATGAGCGGAAGACACCTCTGGGAAAGCAGAAGTGTCTATTTCTAAGGCGTCCTACCAAAAAAGATATTTCCTGGCTAATTGTATTTGGGTAAAAACCTAGCCTACAGCTGTTTAGCCTTATAAATAGTATACTCTTAATAAATATTTACTGAATTGAATTGATTTGTAAGTGTTTACCTACCCATTTGTCAAGTAAATAATCATTTGTGCTTGGCCAATGGGTGTATACATATATAGGTCATTTATTTTACTCAGAAAGGTGAATTATTAAATGTGGTATGCTACCTGGAAGACCCAAGCCTAGAGTTCCATTGGTTACTATTAATAAAACTTTCCATCTATGCTAAATGTTTGCAAATAGCATTTTAAGGTTTATTCAACTCTTTTCCTTTGATTAATGAGGAATAATTTGATATTGTCTCCCTAAACAAATGGAATATAAGAAGTATAGTTGTAAAAAAACAGTGCAAGGGAGTGATGAATGTATACTAAGTCCCTAATAAATACATTTTTAAAGATCAAATAGAGAAAGTATTACAATCACATATTCAGAGAGCTTGTCTATGGTCCCACACCTCTGCCATGTTCCTGTTAGCTACTTGATTTCCCAGAATCTTGGAGATCTTGGGACAGTGGATGAATTCAGATCAGCTTTTATACTCCATGCTTTAACATCAACGTTTCTTTTCGAAGGCATCCTTCTTTCAGAGATTAGAGATGTGATAGGAGGGGGCAGAGGCTAAAAGACAAATCAAGGGTAACAAAGATTCACATTTTTGTCTAAATTACCAAAAAAAGTTAATTGGATATAAAAAAAATCCTTGGCAGAAAATCTGTTGCTTATCTTGCCTTCCCCTTAAGGAATTTAGTAATCCATTAACTTCTGTTCCCCATCTGGATTTGCCATATTGAAAATGTATCCCCAATTCTACACCAATGAGACATACTGGCTTTTTGTTGCTGAATCATTTGAGTCATGTCTGACTCTTCATGATCCCATTTGGGATTTGCTTGGCAAAGATACTGAAGTGATTTGCCATTTCCTTCTCCAGCTAATTTTACAGATAAGGAGCTGGAGCAAACAGGGTTAAGTGACTTGTCCAAGGTCACATAGCTAATGTTCCTATAATTTTGTTCCATAGGTTTGTTTGAGCCACATGACTGTTCTCTCTAAAGGCAGTATATATTCCCTGAACTCATAAATATACAATTTTTTAATGAAAAGAAGTAGTTAGCAGAGACTTGGATATCAGTTAATGATAGCTATATAATCAGACATTGTAATTTAGCACCCATTAACCAGAATCACAAGGGCAGTTGGCATTTGACGATTTCATTCCAGGCTCCTTTTGAGTTCCTCACTCTAATGCTGTGGTCTTGCCCATATGTCCAACATGTCTTCCCATGATCAGACCAAGTCTCCCCAGGAAATTTCAGACTAGGGACAATCTAATGCCAGATTAGGCCACCTGATTTTTGTTTTGCCCCCACATCTCCCAAGTTATTCTAGAAATTTTGGATTGAGGTAGGGAACTAAGCTAGCATCTGGTCACCTTTTTCAATTTGATTCCACCAAAAGGGTTACAAGAAGAAAGGAAATGATGGGTCTATTATAGGAAAGATAACAGAGTGATGGGAAATTTTGAAACAGTACAAAGGTTCCAAGAATCCAGTCTGTCAGATATTTTCCAAGGCAGTGACACAGGAACTATTAGATGGTGTAGTGATGACAACAGAAGGCAAAAGATCAACTCTATGAGATGTTCCTTTAAGCCATATCCAGAATCCTTCCACATCAAGGGGAGAAATGTATTTCATTTTAATCATCTGAGTTTCCTATGGCCATCAGCCTGCTAGTTGTATCCTGCTCCTTTCTCTGCTTTCTCTTTTTCCTCTTCCTTGCCGGTCACAGCCTCCTGGCAGACCCTAGCAAACTTCTCGCTCGGGGACTTGGCCGGGAGAATCTCTGACTTACAGACTGGCACTTGTGGGGCAGGAGTCATGCCATTAAAAGTGAACATTGTGAACTACAAGGTGCTTTGGCTGATGCCTCTGTGTGTTGTGTTTTATTATGAGGATAAAGTTCCATTAGCTTAAACTCCCTTTGTTCTTAAGAGAAATGTTTAGAGAAACTGGTCTTTGAGACAGAAGTCTACCATTTTATCCCTGACCGAGCTAGCAAGTACCCCAGTAAGGTGGGATTTGGATATGAATTTGCCCCCAGAAGACTCCCCTCCCCCCCCCCACTAGATCCTGAGAGTTAGAGGGTTTTCTTTTCCTCCTACAAGTGGCAACCCGAATCCCAAGTTGAAAGTGAATCTTTGCCCTTGGCGCCATTCCAGCATTCCTCACTAAGCGAATAGGGATTTGGAATGTCAGAAAATAGCAAGAGGGAGGGGAAAAGATGTGTGTGTGTGTGTGTGTGTGTGTGTGTGTTTATATGTAAAAGCAGCTCCAGCTGGAAGGACTTGGAGAAACTTCACTTCCTCAGGGCTGCCTTTTTTTTTTTTTTTTTTTTGGTAAAATCTTGGTTCCTTATTTGTACTTTTTTGAGTTTCTTGAAATTGCGCAGCCTGAGCTTGTCACAGCAGCCCCATGTACTTTTGGAGTCCAGGGGAGTTAAGCTGAGGGAAATGTGTTGATTTTCATAGGTTTCCCCACTTTCTCTTTCCTCTGGATAAATCTGCAATAGTTGTTCCCCAGACTTATCTTCGGCAAGGACAAAGGCTATTCCACTGTGCTTTCATCCGGGTTCGTTGGGAGCCTGGGGTCAGGCTTGGGGGTGAGCATCCTAAAACCTCATTAAGAACTCTCCTTTTGTGGAAGATCAAGGAACCACCCTAGGCACAGGGAGGTGTCTCAGCACAGTGTTCTGCACCGTAAAGGTACCTGCCAGTCCTGGGCACCCGTGGTCAAAGCTGAATTGGAAGCATTGATGGAACACAGTTTAAAGACTCTGCCTAGCTGTGGACTGGTTCAGAACTCAAGACTATAATTACCAGGCGGTTTGCATCCTTTTTTTAGTTCTATCAGAAGGCTTTTTGCACCCACTCAGAAGGAGGGGTTCTGGAAGGGCAGCTCACAGGACCGATTTCCCAGCCTTGAGTGAAGATTGCAAAGATTGGGTGTCTCTTCAAATCCCGAGGAACTATGTCTTCCTTATATACCCGAAGCAAAGAGTTCACTCGGAGTAGGAAATCTCAATCTGATTCTCCCCCAGCATCTCCCTCCCCAATTGCCAAGACACTCCGAGTAAGCAGTATTTTGATTTAATGTACGTTCACAGTTGTGTCAGAGGTAGAGTGTATATGTGTGTGTGCCTGTGTGTGCTTGTTTTCTCTCTAGAAATTAGAATTTCTAAGGCACTTGGGGTCAATAGGAAAAAACAAAAACCGGTTGACTTTGTAAATAAAGTTCCTATTAGCTTCTTTATAACAAGTTATGGTTCAAAATATTTAATAAATTCCTGAGAAGCAGGTTCTAGCCATGTCAGAATTCAAGTGATGTCTTGTATTTTTTGTGATTTGTTTGGTAGCAGGATTGTTGATCTCTTGTCATTGTATTGTGAGAGACTTTTAAAAATTTCTTAGTTTTGTTGAATAACTGGCTTTTCTGTATGTTATGTGGGAGATGACGTGTTCTGGGGAAGTGTTCAAATGGAAAGTAACCTGAACTTTTTCTGATTATGAAATTACAGTTCAGGCTCAGCAGAGACAGAGAAAAGAGAGGTGAGCGATGGGATTCAAACTACCAGGAGCCAGACACCAGAACATATTTGAACTTTAGAAAGTAGAAAAGTAGCCCCTTGAACAGAGGCAAGGCAGCTTGGGAAAGTAATGTCTGTCTGAAGTTTGGTAGTGTCTCTGACATCCTGAAGAATGCATATGAGGTATGACTTTACATTTTCTTCTGGATTTCACTACTAAAATAAACCATACTTCAGGATTTGGAACTAGTTTAGGAGTTTCCACTGGAGCAAACCGACAAATGCAAAAACTACTATAGTGAACTTATAGGTAACAGTCTTTTCCTAGAGAACTAGCTTGACTTATCAGAGGAAAAAAAGGGGAAAGATCATTCATTGTTTCTTTCTTTCGGAATCTCTGGGGAGAAGCCAAATTGATCTATAAGTTTAAAGAAGAATCCACCGTGTCCTATCGCTTTTGAAATGCTTATTTATTTCCAAGCCTTATTTATTTTGTTTCATTTCCTATAGCATTGTTGCCTGTAAAAATAGAATTTGGTATAAGGCGCATTGGTCTTTGATCGCATCTAGACAAAAAGAACCCTCATGTAAGTCGGTCTCATCCACATTGCTATGCTGTAACATGTACGGGGGGTCCCAACAGTCTTGGTGCATTTTAAACTTTAAAAGCTTAAGGTGCCTGACAGTCCTGGGCACCCATGGTCAAGGCTGATTTGAAAATATTGATGAAGTCAGGCTTCCAGACTCTGCTTTAATAGCTTAAAACTGCACTCAGATTTTTGGGACACTCTGTACATTGTAGTGAAGTTCTAGCGTATGTCCGAAAGGGCATAAAAATTGCAGTGGTTGAATCCTGGGGCATTAGCTTAAAAAAAAAACCTCATTTGATATATTTGGTATAGCTACAGCTTGCTGGTCACAAAACTCCTAATATCCTTTTTTTTTTTTATAGTGATCCCTTTTACCCCCTTTACACTTCTCAAGGTTATTGGCATATACTGATTACCCATCATATGCAGAGCTTCCTTTTGTCTGGTGTCACCTTACTTATCTTTTTCAGACAGCTGGTTAAGTGGGATGAACAGTGGTGGAGAAAATAAAGTATTATAGAAAATCATAACGTTTTATAGGCTTGCTAAAAATTTAATATTATACTTGACCCTCACTTCCCGGTATTTAATAGCCATCGAGAGCCACAGCAATAGCTGCTTATTGTAATGAGTTTTTGATGGTCAGTGGCTTTAGACTAGTAAAGAATATTTCCGTGTCCTACCCCTTATCTTCCATGTTCTTTGTTTATTTTTGTCTGGTCAGGTGAAGGGTTTGCAAGAGAAGACCAAGATTTCACTAGTTAGGTTCACCCGTAAACTGGGGTCGTCCTACCCCACATCCGGCTTAATCGGGCTTTTGAACTTGTGAGAATAGAGATACTTACAAATGAGCCGTTGTTGTTGTTGTTGTTGTTACTGTGCCTGTGTTGCCTGCTGCTACCATGGAGGAGCCGTTAGCTGCCTCGTGTAGAGACTTAGAGCAGTTGGTACATTAGTGACGTTGCACAGGCACCACTGTGGGGACTAAACAAGCCTAGCACGCTGACGTGAACAGCGAATTTATTAGAGACAACAAAGTGAAACTATTAGATTAGTCACAAATGGGCAATAAAATATTTGCATCATATGTAGGTCAAGGTTAAAGTCATTTTAAGAGTGAAGGTTGAAAGTAAAAGCCTCAGAGAAGCTGTGGGAGTTCAAAGCCCAGACAAAGTGGGGCCCCTGGAGACTGGAGCTGAGGGATAGAGGGAAGGGCTGGGTCCACAGACCAGAGGCAGTGATTAGACCGTCTGTCACCAGATCTATCATGGGGACCAACAAATTCAGGTGGAACTTTATAGGATTCACAGGAGATTCCCACCTGTGTGACCCCAGTCTATGGACTCCAAAGACTGAACTTTAAAGACCGTAGAGTTATCTAATTCTGGGAGTGAATTCATCACTTTTTAGGATCAAAGCCTAGATAAAGTCATTCGTTAGTATCGTCCAAAGGCTCTAGTAAATATTCTGTCCTAGGTTAGTCATTGTAAAAAATGAGGGCCATACCTCTTGCACCAATATGTGTAAAATAAAGAACATGTGATATTGACATTCTTGTCTATGTTTTCTGATAATATAGTTAAACTTTCTTAAGTTGTTTTTCAAAGGCCCTGATCCTCAGAGCTTCTTTCCTTGTAAAGAAAATATTTTGAAAGAGAATTGGAAAACAATGTACATTCAGATAGGGAGCTAATATTTTGAATACATTTTTCAGAATAACTATAAATTACAAAAGATTTTATTTTGAACTTTAAAAAACAAAAACAAACAAGAGCAGAGCAGGTGTGGGCAACTTTAAAACTAGCATTAGATGGTCAGTGTTTTAGAGACAGAAGCTGTCTTTTCCTTCTTTGTAAAACTCCTTGCAGTATCTAAACTGTATTATAAAAATGGCACACACTTAGTGTTTTTGACTAATATGCCAGCATTGGTTTCCAATAATTCATGTTTTTCTACCAATTCTTTTAAACAGTTTCAAGGTGGCCCTCAGTCTGGGGATGGCAATTTCCTTGGTTTCTAAGTTGGGAGTTGGAGGGGAAAGGGGTAAGACTTGATTTTATCTTAGAGCTGTTACAACGGGCAACCCAGAAAATCAGCATAACTCCAATATTCCTTGCAAATTTCTGTGCAAAATAATACAAGGTAGTAGCTAATGAAATTTTGAAGGGGTTGCCTGTGTTCTTATGTTCCAAGGTAACTAATATGAAATTTATAAAATGTCAACACCATTCTCCTAATTTATGGAAAAACTGTGATGGGTCTTTCATAAATGCTGAATTTTCATTGTCAGCTTATTTATAGCAATGGCGTTTGACCTGTATTTTAAAGCTGAGAGTAATGGCCTTTTTCATTTCAGTTCACATTGCTGCCATTCATGGCCAGCATCCTCAACAGAAAATGCCAGGATTGTAGGTGGCAGTGTTTTTTCATATTGTTATGGTTAGTCAGTTGTGCCCACCTCTTCATGACCCCGTTTGGGATTTTCTTGGCAAAGATACTGGAGTAGTTTGCCATTTCCTTCTCCAGCTCATTTTACAGATGAGAAACTGAGGTAAACAGAGTAGAGTGACTTGCCCAGGGTGTCAATCTAGTAAGAATCTGAGGGCAGATTTCAACTCAGGAGGATGAGTCTTCCTGACTGCAGGGGCAGCACTCTATCCCCTATACCACCGTGCTTGTGTGTGCCCCCCCTTTCATACTAACCATAAAATTTACAAAATGAGGAACCATTAGTCATTTTGCTTTATTTTTACAACTTTAAAATCAATAGAAAGTTTGATAAACATTTTCATGATAATTCCATGAGAATGGAATCCATTCTGATGGACTCCAGCATCACTGGATCCTGGCTCTGATCTTTTCAAATACTTAATATTGATGACCATTCTTTGAACATGAACATATCTTCCCTCTGGAAAACACAAAACATTCTACAATGTATTATCTTATTCTTTGAACTTCTGAATGTTGTATCTGGGGCAACACTAATCTAGAATCCATTTTTCCCTCTACTTTATAATCTATTGTCATATGTTGAGAAACATTTGTCTGGTTGAATAAATGCTAATGAGGGATGCAATCTGTTAACCAGTTTCTCTCTAATTAAAACCTCTACAGCATCATTTTTAACTCTAATCAAGAAAATTCTGTATACACTAACTCTTCAAACCAAGAACAGTTTCATAGGCAAGAATGGTTTCTATGCATAGAGATAAGGAAAGATTTCCCCACTGATATCCATTAAGTATTTGGGTTTGTGATTGGTAGCATTATTAACATCTTTCCATCAAACAGCAAGCATTTATTTAAGCACCTACTATATTATTAGCGTTATTCTAGACACTAAAGGTACAAAGACAGAAGTGAAGCAGTCCCTGCCTTCAAGAAGATAATATTCAATTGCATGAAGAGCATGTAAATACAGAGCATATGCAAATGAAGTACTCGGAGACACTAATAGATGGAAGAGTTCAGGAAAGGCCTTATGTAGGAAGTGGCCTGTGAGCTGAGCTTGGAAGGAAGCTAGGAATTCTAAGGGAAAATGAGGAAGGAAAATAAAGGCACAGAGACAGTTCCATGTAGACCTGAACTAGGCAGAGGCCGAGCTCTTGTTCCATTGAGACTTCGGAAAAGTTTATGAAAGCGGCAGCTACTTCCCCAGAGTCTGATTGTCTTTTTTTTTTTTTTTCCTTATATGACAGCTCTAAGAGGCCCTGTCCTTACTCCCTTTAAATGAGGGGTCACCTGTAAATGGAAAGCTTGACTTTGTATGAGTAACACACTTTAGGGAAAAAAGAATCCTGCAAACCCTACACTTCTTTGATTTGCCCCATCTAGTTTAGAGTTATGTCCTCGTCCAGGGGAGGAAAGAACTGCCTAAAAGTGAGGCAAGACAGAGCTGTACTTCTCTTTTATCCAGTTGTTGTCAGGAAAAAAAAAAATTATTCCTCTCAGGC